GACCATGAAGATACTATAGTATATACATAGTGACGTGTGGGGCTCATCTCCTATTGACTATTCTCAAAAAAGCTATATGAAAAAGTAATCATCTATAAAATATACAATTTTTATGTTAAAGATGATTACTTCATGTATGTGTAGGTGTATTTTTGCACCCACATGTGTTTGACGTGTTTTCTAACTTCAAAACTTGGCGTATACAAGTTGAGACTCAAACTAGCCAGAGAGTTAAATATTTGTGATCAAATAATGGCGGCATATATAATTCCAAGTAGTTTTAGAGGTATTGTATAGAGGAGTGTATCATTTGCCATTTCACAACATTTTTCACTCCATAACAAAACGCCGTTTTTGAGAGGCTCAACTAAATAGTGTTGTAGAAGATGCGGAGTATGCTAAGAATTTACCAAGAGAATATCCGGCCAAAACTGTCAACATAACAATTTATTTGATAAATCTTTCTCCTTCTAGTGCAATCAATATCTCCACACTGTTTGAACTCCAGCATAAACAGATGACAGATTATAGTCGCTTGAAAGTTTTTGATTGTGCTGCTTATAATCTAACACCGAACGACTAAGTTTGATCATACATCCTAGAAATGTCGTTTCCTTGAATATGCTAGTGGAGTGAAAGATTACGGACTATTGGATGCACTAGCTCGTAAGATGATTGTCAATAGGGATGTTTCCTTTCAATAGCTTGGCTCATTGAAAGAGAGTTTGATCATTATAATACTAATGATTTATCACAAGAAGGGGCACCGGTGCATCAAGAACATGAAAAAAAATAGCGAGTTATCGTTGATGAGCCTATTGCAATAGTTTCAGACGATAAAGATGAACCGAAGACGTCTATTGAGAGTCACATTGTGCCAATCAGGCTCCTAAAAGATTTGGTCTATGGGCAAATTCATACATTCTCAAAGATCATGACTTTGATGTCAAAAATGGAGATGATATGGCGTTGATTTGGAATGAAGGTGAAACTTTTTCATACAAGGAAGCTGAAGCTTTGGTCAACAAGCTTGAATGAAATGCTACCATGGAGGAGGAGATGCAATCCTTGATTGAAAATAAGACTTGGGAGCTGGTTGAGCTTCCTACGGATTAGACGCTGATTGACTCCAAGTGGGTTACAAGCTGAAGTACAATCCAGTAGGAGACGAGGCGAAACTCTTCAAAGCTAGAATGATGGCTAGAGGTTCTACACAAGAAAAAGATGTGAACTAGAACAAATTTTTTTCACGTGTAGCTAAGTATGCTACAATTTGTTTGGTATGTGTAGTGGCCGCAATATTTGGTCTTATTATGGATCCGATGGATGTGATTTTAGACTTTCTCTATGGAATTTAGAGGAGTAGATCTATATGAGACAACTTGTTGGCTTTGAGGTCAAAGGCAAAGAGGGGTTGGTTTGTAGATTGTTGAAATCATTATATGGACTGAAGCAAGTTCCTAGGTAGTGAAACACGCAATTTGATGAATTCATGAAGGCACAAGGTTTTTTACAGAGCGTGTATGATCCTTGTGTCTACAAGAGGAAGATGAATGACAAGACTTTCAATCTCATTATCATAGTACTCTACGTTGATGACATGCTCATCATGGCAAAAAACCAATATGATGTTTATGAATGCAAGAGTAAGTTGAAGTTTGCATTTAAGATAAAGGATATGGGGAGTCGAAAAGAATATCATGGAGATTCAGAGGAATTTTGAACATAAGAGAGCATGGCTGAATCACAGCATGTATTTTTGTTGTATACTTGACAGGTTCAACATGGTCAATTTCAAAGGAGTATGAACTTCTTTGTCAACACATTTCAAACTCTCCGCATCTCAATGTCCTACCGATGGTGTTGAGAAAGTAAGAATGTCATGTGTTGCATATGAAAAAGCTGTAAGCAACCTCATGTATTTGATGGTATGCACTAGATCAGACACTGCTTTTGCAATGAGCAAGGTGAGATGGTACGTGTTGAATCTAGAGAAATTTCATTGGAAAGTAGTGAAATGAGTTATATGATATTGGAAGAGTACTTTTGATGAAAGTGTTGTTTGATGATTTATTAGACAATGCCAAATACTTGTTAGGTTATGTTGATGATGACTACGAACAAGATCTAGAAAAAATGGGTATGTGTTTACACTTCGCGGTGGAAGCATTAGTTGAAAGTCTACTATGCAAAAATGCATAGCTCAGTCAACAACGAAAACTGAGTATATAGCACTAGCAGAAGTGGCAAAGGAAGTTTTTTGGTTAGATAGCCTTATCATGGAAATGGTATTGAAGCAAAGCATGGTTGATCTTCATTGTGACAGCCAGAGTGTTTTACATTTGGCTATAAACTAGGTCATGAATAACATAATGTAGCAGATCAATATGAGATACTACTCTATCAGACAAGCAATGTTTGATAAAACGATTGAGCTAATCAATATCGACAGTAAACTCAATCTAGTTGATGCTTTGACCAAAGTTATTCTTTTGGAGAATTTCAAACGACACTATGTTACCATGCAGGTTGTGTATGGGAAGCAAATGTAGAATTTGCTAGCATAGTAACTTCAATTATCTCTTTATATATTTACTCTATCTTGTGATGGTTACGGTTTAGCTCTTATTAACTTTTGTGTAAAGAGCAAGCTTGTATTAAGTCTCTTTCTAGAACTTGCTCTAGAGTAATTATATTGATTATGAAATTTTTGTTACCTCTATCCTAGCAAGTTTCCTAGTTATTTCTTTATGTTATTACTCTATCATGTTATGATTACGATTTAGTTCTATTTACTCCATGTAAAGAGGGACATTGTGTTAGCTTTCCGTCTAAAACTTCCTGTTGAGTAATAATATAGGTTGCAAAGATTAGTGTCTCGTCAACACAAGTTAAGGGGAAGATTGTTGATGTTAACTCTGATGGAGGAGTAACCTCTAGCTATTTATAGCTAGGTGTGTGAGAGAAGTTGGATATATATATACTCCCAAGGCTTCTACTCTATGGTGTGTTGTATTCAATTGTCAGTAAACTCCCTTGCGTGTTTCAACCGTGGACATAATCTTTGAGGTTTAACCACGTTATATGAGTGTATCTAGTGTTTGGCTTGAATGATTTTTGCTTTTACATTTCAGATTTACTTTATAATTAGATAAATTTTTTATTATTTACTTACATATGTAACTTAAACATTTTCTAACATATATATGGCAATCAGATCATATCTATATTAAGGTAAAGAATTTGTTATATTATAAATATTTCTTATTTAAAAATCTAAAATTAGTATCTTACAAAATAAAAGCATAATAGACCAGAAAGACATTTTTTGATAAACAATATACTCGCATAAATAAGAAGTACAAATTATTGTTTCTGTTAATAAAATCTAAGGTATTTTATTGCAAACTCATTTGAAGAAATCTGTAATTTATTTTTTAAATAAAAATTACAAATTGTTTTAACACTCAAGTCTATGTATCAAGCTTGATAAAAATTTAGTTTATGGTACCAAACTAATCAAATCAAGATTTTTTATAAAACACTCAAGTTTAGATTTTCCAGTTTAGATAAATTCAATTTTTTGTGTGATAACCGAAATCTTCATGATGAAATTACATCCTTATCAACTATTTTTTCATCTGCAAGAACTTAATCACAAAAAAATAAACAGTATACTTCAATTATCAATCTTATCATACACAATGTTATCATCAAGTGTTTTTTCAAAACTTTATTATGTTTATGTTTTGATATTTGTTTGAATTAAATGTTCTACTCTTGCATCGTTTTTATAGGCTAATGTTTCCCTCGAAAAATATATATGACTTCATGTCTTATGGCATTTTCTATCGTTTTTATTTTAGTTTTGTTCTCCAATTTTCCTATAACATCCAAGAATTTTCTATAAGCAATATTTCTAATCAATTTGGAATAAAATAATAAGTTACAAATTTGACATGAGAAATAAAAATTCAAATACACTCAAAATATTATCAATATACTTGAAAGAAATCAAAATTAAATTATCAGCCTTGTTAGATGTAAAATATAAAGTTGATTATTAAAAGAATTTGATATTTCATAAGAAAACAACAATAAATCTTTACAATTTTAAGAAAAGTCATATTACAGTTACATTCGATTTACCATTTCTTATCAACATTTAAAATTTAACCCATTTTTACCCTCGATTTGGTAATGTGAAGAAAAATGTGAGATAGTTGTGAAATCTTTTTCCAACAAAGGAACGAACAGAACATAAACGATTGTTAACTCATTTTTAACAAGATAATTAAACAATGTATTCATCTTCGTAATTTGTAGCTTTTTTTTGCCTGTATATGTTATCTTTGTCCCACCATTTCTTTCATGGAAAGAATAGATCCATATAACGTATATTTCGAGATATGAAAATAGCTCGGAAAAGAAATCTCAGATGTTGGACAGTATGCAATGCTTAAATCTAGGCTTAAAGTACATCATTAAAACACACGATTTTTTATTCAAAAAATATATAAAGCATGAACTAAATCGGATAAAGGTCATAAACGACAGAAGGGGCCAACTGGAAAGCACTTATGCCAACTCATAAACCTATAAGGTGCGTACTATAATAAAAACTAATGTAGATATTTCTCAACTCAATAGTTTCATAGAAGCATATTTATTTTTTCCCCATGTCCACAACATAGAAATATAGTTCTCTGCGATTCTTCATTGAATTATCGGCTGAAATGCCGTTACACCTACGAGCATAACAGTGTACCGGCAAGAATCAGGTTGTAATAAACTGCATGGTACTTTAATAAGCTTGAGGGTTTAAAATATTTCAAAATTTTACTGGTTGATTGAGGCACCTCGAAAACTTGATGCATAGGGGACAAGAATATTCGTCTCCGGAGGGAATAAACAGTTTCTTGCGCACTGGTTGGACTGCATAGTGCACCGTACATCTGGGCTGAAGAATGATTGCGCACTGAGCGAGAGAAGAACATGTGCGCAGTTTGTTTTGATTTCTTCTGATCGGTTTTGTTAGACCAGCTTGGAAGAAAAGGAACTAGTGCAGATTGTTGTCAAGTTCCAATGTCCTGCTGACGAATGAAAAATGGGGATTTGTGCTCCGTGCGGATGAGAGAATTTGATTCTCAAGTAAATTATTTATCTTTTGTCGTCCTTACGGGTCTTGATGACCTTAAGTATCGGAATTGAAGTCGAAAGCTGATAACTTGGAAACCTCAGAATGCAAATTGTTATTAAGAATGAAGCTTCAAATGCTTTCTTGATGATTCTTTCAGGGTGTGTAATTGCCAAGGTGTCAAGACTTTTGGGGTTATTCCACAAAGTAAGGCGCCAATTCAGCCTATACTCAAGGTAGATGCAATACCTTGCTGGAAGTATGAAAAACGGAGTTATACTTTTTGTATGAATCCTGCGGAGATGACGTTTTCAGGCAATTGATTCTTCAGTGGGTCATGTTTGAAACCTTATTGGTATATGCATCGCAGACAGAGCTTTCTAATCTGTTTGTTTATTTGATTTGAATTATAGAGACGTATCCTGATGGCAGAATCGTCAAATCAAGGGAGGAGACATCAAGCTTTTCAAGCAATGATTGCTTTGGGCTTTGAATGGGTTGAGGTTGATCGAGCCCTCGAAGATTTGCTGCAGGTATATGCATTGATTTTCAGTTTCTCTTTTAAATACATTATTTATGATTCAGCTCAGCTATTTTATTACTGTTCGAAGAGAATGGCATTCTTTCCTTTCTTGAGGTGATGAACTATGGCGGAACGTGATCTGCTTATTCTTTGAATAGGATTGATCTCGATGGTCCCATCTGTTATTTCTTTGATGTTCTTTGATCGAAATGTGGCTATTTATGCTGATTCTTTCAACTCCGTAAGGGCTCATTTGCTCCACTTTGAATATCTTAATCGTGCGTTTGCTCAGTTTTTTGATAGGTTCATTTGGAGTTCTAGAATAAGCCCCCTGTATTCGAAGGGCATGCTTTCATTGCTTCCGTTATATGGTTTTTCATCGGACGCTACATGCCATTGCTTTGATTTCAAAGAAGAGCTGTCTTGCCTTGCTTTGAATAGGTTTTAGGGCGAATAGACTAGAATAACAAAAATTATGTGAAGATTTTTAGCCTGCCCTGATCTTAGTTCATCTTTTGTCCCAAGAGTAATACTCGATTCAGACGTTGGACTTTGATATCATATTAACTCCGGTATGCACGGGACTGTTTCCTTTAGTTCTATGATTTCAATTGGGACTACATCGAGGCCAACAGTTACTATAACCTGGTGGATTGGATTTTGAACCGTAGACCTATTTTGGTTACAAATCTGGCATATCAAGAGAAGGTAAGCGCTCTGAATCCTGAGTAATCATTAGTTGATATGATCTTTTCATCTCAAGGATTATCAACCCAAAATTACTAGAAAATTTTATTAAATGCACAGATAGATCATACATTAGTCAAGGTCAAACTATCGTTCCCCAAGAGATCAACCAAACAAAGAGGGCAATAAACTCATAAAATTTCTTTCTTCTTTAAAAATGAAGTCATAGGCTGTAGTTTTATTTTCTGGCAAGAAATTTGAGATTCGTCAAGTCTTTAAGGTAACAAGAAATGTCGTGTTGTAAGTGGACACGATATTCATTAGAAAGAAACATGATCTGTGAAAAGCGGCTGCTAATTCACGCATCACAACCGAAGTAATTTATATGAATAAAAAGAGATTTTTTTCTTGCTAATAATATTAACAAGCCATATCGTCCCATGTTCCCAGGATACGCAACGCTCAGAACCCGTGATCACTGAGCTTAGTCGATTACAAGCTTTGCACCCCATTTTGTTGCCATTGGAATTACCAGTTGACAGGTCAAGCCTGGCGGAAGATGAAGGCCCAGAAGATGGACGCAACCCACCTTCACCAGTGGACGAGTCACAATCTGCAAGTAAATATCCAGTGGACCTGGATATGAGTCCCTTATCCAGAATACGAGTTCTGAATCCCAAGGTGAAGCCTCCAATGGAGAAGGAAGTGCCCATAGAAGATACAGCAAGAGGTATGTGTCATGCAATTGGAGGATGAAGCGTTCCCTTAATGTTGCAGCTCAGTTCTGGAAAGGCATTTCCCGTTGATGTAGGCATTTCAAAGATTCCTATCAATCGCAAGAGAAATTTACAAAACCTTGATGTGTTTTTGGAAATACCTCTCTTACATGAAGTATCAGCTCAGACGGAACACATGAACTCTACTGCCGACTTAGGGCCCTCACCAAGTCATTCGAGCTCAGTTTCTGTGAAGAGATTAACGGATCCAGCTTCACCAGATTCAGAATCGAAGCAATTCGACTGTTCGGTGAGTGATGAGTGATAACTTATTCACAGCAGCTCCCACGTTTTCGTATAAGCCAGAGATCGTAATAGTAACATATCACTGATATATGACTAATAATATCTCATCCGAATCCCTGATTGTTATTGCAGAGTCAAACTGATAAACACATCTCATTACATGAAAGTGGACAAAGAGTTATTCCCTGCGAGAGTTCGAGAACTGAGCTAGATAAAGGGAAACAGATATCTCAACTCACTGATTTGGAAGAAGGAGGGGTGTCTCAGCAAGGAGTTCGTTATCGTCTTGACTCTAATTTGACTTATAATCCCCAGCGGAACCTCCGTTTCAAAGACCGCATCAGTACCGAAGCCACGGACCATTATTCATCTCCACGATTTCATGAAATGAAGGTGACCAAAGAATATCTAAGCGACGTTTTGACTGTTACAGGTATGTGTTTTGGACAGATCACTGCTCATTCTGAATATTCAGAAATGCAGTGTGAAACATTCAGCACATTTGATTTTGAACCCTCAACATTAGATACTATCCAGGTTCTTGTTAGAGAAATGAGCCACGAGTACTTTTGTCATACGTCACGAGCGTCAAGTTTAAGCTCAGGGTCTAGTTCAGGATCCACAAGTACTTTCATCTCACCTTTTGAAGATGCTGAAAGCCCACCCGAGTCACCTACGGTTCCTAAGCCTTAACACGTTAACAGAACTCCGTTGAGGACTGAATGGAGTTGCGTTCCCTATAGGATTTAGCATATTGATTACCTTTATTACTTACGACACTTACTAATAACAAGTCATCTATGCTAAGAAATGTCTGAGTGCAAGTTATGTAAATCCTTTGACAAGCTCCTCGTGCTCTATAATAATGACGGTAGCAACTATTGTTTATCTTTTATCATTATATCATATGAAATTGTCTTTGATCTTAAACTCAACGTCATATGTTTGTTTCTTCCCAGGTCATAAATAAACTACTGAAATAATACAGTTCTGAATGTATCATAGCAACACATAGGCTAAGTATATTTGTTTGACTAACATTAAAACTTGATCTCAGTCATCGTTTGAAAGACACTATTTGAATTAAGTACAAGTTGTAGTTGGCTTCTCAGCGAGTTGAAATTCTTCCAACAGTTTGAATATCTAATCGATCGAAAGGTACTTATGAATGGCAGCAGATTAGAATTTCACTGAATGTAGAGCTGTTCTTGTCAAGCATGTAGCAATTTTCCATAGAGTTGGGTCCTAATGTGAACTTGGTCCAAGCATGACAAATGAATACTTATCTGTAAGATGATGATTAAAACCCTTCGTACGGTTGTAGATCAAACACATAAAAAAATGAAAAAAAACGAGAAACGTTTACATATAGCAAATTTGCTAAGTTAAAAAGTGTTTCAGAAGAGATACTAAGGTACCTGAATGCCCCATTCGTAAAACTGAGCTCTTAGACGACAGTCTCTTTCTATTACACGATCAGACCTTTGTACTTTACCCTGTGCACCAGATCATAGATGAATTCGACCAGATCCATGACAGCTGTAAAAAAAGGGTATATGATTAGTTGTCGAAATTTATCTGAAGTAAGTTTCTACGTCTTGATGCATGAGTATAGCAACAGAGTATGCTCCATAGATAGCTTTTGGGGTTCTTTTAGGACCTACGGTGCATTAATATCAAATCCTTGAACATGGAGATCATCTACTATTTACCATTCTTCTATGTCTGGCTTGACTAGTTGATCAGCTAATATGATGTCTAAATAGATCTGAAAAGTGGGGAAATCTGTAACTCCCATCAGATCTACGACGGACTGTTGAATGATTAGTAACACATATTTTGCGCCAACATATTTCATACACAACGGTAAAAAAACTGGAGTTGTGCATGGATGGCTGACTATGACCGGTACAACTATGTTTTCCGAAAGTCTACAAATGATGTAATTTGCACGGAGTCACTGAGTCGCATTTCTTACAATTGTGAGGGTTCCTGACCTTCAGTGAATGATTTGGTACTCGTCTCAGTGTCTCGATCGAAAGAAGGACCATTCTCGGGTTCCATTTCCGAATTCTGTCCAGATCGCGGTTGTATCTTGTTCAACGTCTGGTTGATTTGCTGCAGACTGTAGCCTTCTCGCTTTAATATTGAAAACGGCTGTCAGTCATTTGTCGATGCTGAGGTGATATCACAAGTGAATGTGATGTGCTCTTTGATCTTCTCAACTTCATGTATCTCCTCTATTCCCAGATATATTTGAAAGAAAATCCCACATGATCTCCAGTTGCAGGTCTTCAATTCTCTATTGTATATATTCAGCTGTTGTATGATTGGACATTTGTTTGTTTGGTGGGCCTTCTGGCAGATCATCTCAGATCCAACTCCAAATTTGCAAAGTCATCACAGCTAAGTTCGCTAATAGTCATGCTCTCTGACCGTCAATCGCGAGTTGCTTGGAATTTCTGAATTATGCATGGCAATGAAAAGGCATTAACTCTTAAAGTATAACCAACTCCATACAACACATAGCCTGAAAGTAGGGCTTTGTTCGCCCGTAAGCAGTTTTCACCTGATGTGGCGAGCGGTGGCCAGAAGGATGGATAGGTCATGTACTCAGATAAATTGCGGTCAGCCCCTTTCATCGAAGAGGAATGATAGATAGGTTGAATACATGTGGGTTTTCCAAGTTAAGGCACACAAAAATAGCTCTGCGAGGCCCGTGTCCCTGCTCGTCGAATAGAAAGTTGATTCTGATCTAATTTCCTTTCAGTTGCAAAACATGGAGAGTTTTCAGGAATCCCATGATTAATACGTAGGTTAGGTGCCCGGCGAGTAACCAGAACCCTGCTCACTTAACAGCACACGCCTTTTTGTCACCCGTAATGAAGCGTCATTACGGGTCTCTTTTCTTACAAATTTTTTTTCAAAATGCCATCTGGAACCTGTTAAGTTGTATCACATGATAAGATTCCAGAAGATGGTAACATTTTATAGTGACAAGAACTAATAAAATGAAACTGCAGGTGTGTTATTCATGTAAAACTTGATATTCATGGAAAAATGCACTGATAGATCAAAGACAAAATGCTTCGAGGTTAATGCAGAATTAAAGCAGTTTTTTCATTTAACCTCTTTCAAATATTTTCAAAGAGCACGATTGTTATCAAGCTGTATCAGGCTGAGTTATCTATTATCAATTCAGTATATCTTCAATTGCAGTGGAGTAATTTATGAAAAAGTACGATGTAATACAATAATGTACATTTTTTGCCGTGTTGATTGAAAAAGTGTTTCTTGTGTATAGTGATGATCTTTTGATCAACCACTCTATTGCTCTATCTGGATTCTGTCCAGATACGTGCTGCATACTGCTTTTGAACTATATATCTTGCAAAAAGTACAAAACTTTTCCAGCATGCCTTTCACGCACACGCAAATCTGCTGGTTGAATACAAACTCTGATACATGAGGGCTTGCATCAGTTGTTAGGTAAAATGCCCAAATCATTGGTTCCATGAGAATATTAGAGATGATAATGATGATCCATGATATGAGATGATGCAACGGCAAGAAGATAATGCACAAAATGATCCACCATGTGATCCTTGAGGCTGTTGAGCTCTAGATTTGTAGTCTTCGCACGATGCTGCTGGATCAACTTGGATGTTTGTCGAAACGAGAAAAGAAAAAAAACGTGATGGATGGCGAGGTTGAATCGCACAAAGTTTTTGACCGTAATCACGTATGATCCGTTTTGCTTCAATTTGAACAATTTCATGGCATTGGACTTGATGATTGGTGTGAACGTATCTTCTTCTTTTCCTCCGAATGAAATAATAAATTCCCCAAAACGAGGTCAACATTTGCAGGTAGCTTAATAACAGATTGAATATATTTTTGTCTTTTTATTTCCAATTAAAGGTGAATGTTATGACATCTTTTTCTTCAAGAGTTAACCTTCTTTTGATGTGAAAGCTGTTTGTAACTGGCCTAATACTCAAGATGTTGAGAATATATTTCTTCAAAAATTTGACCTTCTCTTGATGCAAAAACAATTGGTTAGAGTTTCAATCTTCAAGGTGCTCAGAATCATTATGGTTTTTGTAGGCATCAAAACATAATAAAAACTAGAACAATTGAGTGATATTGATCTGTCGTAGCTTCATATCAACACTCTCGCGCTTTTGCAATCGACGTGGACGCAGAATAAACATTGTACACTCGTCATTTATTGATAGCTAGACCCGTTGAACATCAAATTTTCACTGCATGCTTGATCTGAAATTGCGTTATTCGAGTAATGATGATATGCAAATGATCCGCTACCACTGTCTGCACTTCACTTTCACGAGGCTAATTGCTAAAATAGTCAACAAAATGACGTCACCCGCTTGTACTCTTCTGTTTGAAAGAAGAAAAAATGCACAATGATCAAAATGAACAAACTTCAGAGCTAGCTTTTTAAGCAATCAACTCAATAGTTTGCTTTTCAAGCATTGAAAGGTCTTTGATACACATATTTATACTCAAGTGATAGACTTCTAATTGTTCTATCAGGTTGGAGACTGATTTGTCAAGTATAAAAGTGAGTGGCATACTTAAACAATAATGAAATGATGTATGATATTAAAAACATTTCTTTTCAAAAAATTGATGACGGCAAAATAAAAATATCACACAATAGAATGCGAGCAAGTAATTATTGTGTAAGCAAAAAAAAATGAAATTATTATTCATGTGATAATTAAGTTGTAGTAAAGATGGGTCAAAAATCTTTGATTTGTTTGGAAAGTCATGAAAATTTATCTAAACGACAGATTTGATGGACAAGGTATCATCAACGCTTCAACATGAAGATTGCATATTTGAGAAACAAGAAACAACTCGTGGATGCTTTGCCACTCATATCTTCTTTAAATCATGTCGCAAAAGTGAAAACTTCAAGCTAATTAATGAAGCAAGATGACTTTGAATTGCAAAAGAAAAGATCACTAAAGTATTACAAGCTCAAAGGAAAAAAAAGTTTTGAGATTTGACGTTTTAGAAGCAGCGTATATGGAGTACAAAAAACCAACCATTACACACAACATTTTGAACAAACTTTTTCTATTCAATAGCATCATAGATTTTCTATATGAGTTATAAAATTACCTCGTTAAGAATAAATTTAGTGATGATTGACATCAGGCCAACCTTAACAATAATAAGAGCTTCACAACGGGATCAAATGTATTTAGATCTAGTTTTTGTGAATTATAGCTTAAGGAAATTTTTTATCATTGATAGAGATATTCATTCACTAGTTTATTTTGATAAACTCTATTTAGCAATATTAATTGCTTATCATCTTCAAACTGATGTACAAATTGAAAGTGTCAATAAATTTTAAAAAATTATGCTAAGAACATTCTCATTAAAAAAGAAGAAAAAAATGGTTACTCTTTTGGCTCTTTGAGATTTTTGATATAACAGTTTTGATGATATGTTCACAAAAATTTCTCCATTTTATCTCATGTTTGATGATATACTATAACTCCTTCGAGTTTGATTAGATTTTCAAGGAGAGAGAAATTTTAAATCAAAGTTGTATCATTCAACAATTTTATTAAAAATCCACCAAAACTTTCACCTTGCTAAGAAAAAGTATTTGATATCTCAAAATTAACAAAAGTAACATGAAGTAATTCATCATAAATATTTGACTTTTTATGTAGAAAATCATGTTTGATTATTTACAAAAAAACTTATCTTTTGTAAAAACAATAAAATTTATATTAAAATTCATTAAATCTTTTTGGATTTTGGAACATGTTCGTGAAATGTCATACAAGTTAAAATATCTGTTGCATATAAAAATACATCAGACATTTTATATATCACGATTGAAAAAAATATTTATCACAACCAAAAAAATTCATTCATCAACCAACATTATCTCCTCTATCAAATTTAAAAGTTGATCATGAAGAATTTGAAATAAAGAATCTATTAAAGAAAAAAATCTGCAAGGCTACAAATATCTCAAAACACAGTGTTTGATTCAATGAAAAGTTATATATCATTTGAATCAACTTGAAAACTAGCTAGATTTTGAACAAATGTTCTTTTGATAGTTCAATCAAAGGATGTCATGTGTTAAAATGAGAGATTTTTGTAACCATCTGAAATTAGTAAAAATAAAAATAAATTCTATTCAAGATGGAAATATAGTTATATTATGTTGAATTATATATATTCATCACATCAACGAGATGTGTGCTTGGTATATACAGATTAAATGTATTAGTTGGAAATCACAAGTAAATAATCAGTGTAATCATTAAGTTTATCAACCCAAATCATCCATCCATTAAGAGTGGTGGAGAAAATAATTTATCTTTGCTTATGTGTTTGTAAGATGTATATAAAGAAGCGAAAAAAACAT